CCCAAAGCTTTTTACAGTGCATTATTCATTCACTACACATTCACTGATGGTAAACTTCTGTTGTAGCGAGGCTGCCATTCTGCACCATCCACCACTAACTCTTGCATACCACAACTCAATCCTACAATGCAAGGTGGGTGAAGAGTCTTGCCTAAGGACAGAACATTAGTTTTGCCACCGGTGTCCCACTGTGCTGTGACCATTTGAACTATGTGCCTTTTTACTTACATAAAAAATTTGATTGATCAAAATGTGTCTTGCTTCAGTACAGATGTATTGTAAAAGCAACTCTTGAATTATCATTTGTCAAAATAAGTCCACTGAATGTATCTGTGTCTAATTAGAAAACCTTTCATTGTCCAATAATCAAGAAGTGTGGTTGTGGTTGTAAGAAGTGGTTGTAAGCTAGATGTTGTTAGCTTTACCGTCACAGCAAAACTCAGTTCTGGCCTATGAAACTTGTGAAAAGTGCTTATAAAAATCACTGTGGTGAATAATTTGAATGCATAAGGTAAGTGGGACTTGGGATCACTGTAAACCATTTAAGAAGAACAAGTTCTGTTTTTCAAGGTTAAGGGGATAATGTTTAATAAGACATTGCTAAGCACTATTTTACTTTCTTTTCTAAGTCATGCAAGCTGGTCTATCCAGTTCCAACCACACAGAGGCAGTGTTGTGTGCACTTTGCTTTGGACACAGGGCAGTCCACAGTTTGTTTATGAAAATGTAGTCACCTTTAGGTGCTTTCTCTTAATTAAGTATTAATGATCATTGCTACGGCTTTAAATAAAATACTCCAGTTAAAATGTACAGATCGGGTTCTTTATTTCTTCTGCAATTAGACTCTTGAATTCAGCATTTTTAAAAGCTTTCAGTAAAGTTATTTAAATCAGCTGATGTCATCAGTTTTGCCCGAGGGGTTGAAACTAACTAGAGGCATGTTCTGTCTGAAGTTCTGTTACTCAAGTTAGACAGGACCATGAACACTCATACTGATCAACAAAGTGTCCTGATGTCTTCTTCTTTTTCCCCTAACCCCTAATTCCCCCATATTTCACCATGTGAACAATGGCAAAAACTCCAACACTTTACCAACTATTAAAACTCGCACTTCTCTTCATGAGAATGAGAATGAGATTTGACACAGAAATAGATCATGACAAGACAACTAAAAAATAACGCACAAATACAACCAGAGATTCATGCTCTCTGTGTGTTTTGATGGGGATACACACCTACACTCGTGTAGAGCGTCAAAAAATAGGATGGATCCTATTTTCTGAAATCTAAACATGCTGCTCCATACGCACCAGACGTGCACATGCAGTGGAGCCGCCCTCATTCACTTTCCATCTATTCTAAAAGTTACGTATATAAAAGTTGCAGTTTTTATGCTCGCGTAGGGTGAAATACACATGCCAAGCCCTTAGGACCTGGCTCTACTGCATGGCTAAACCCACCCAGTCAAGTTTGATTGTCTTTCCCATTGACAAAAATAGAGCCAGTGCTGCACGTGTGCGTCCTGCTGCAGCTGCTGGTGAAGCCGCCTTTGCGTTGACGTGCGGCTGTGGTTTTGCGGGGTTACGCGCGTAACGACACGGGCGCATCCTCCATCTCCAGGCGGCCCTCTTCTCTCCTACTTGCCATTTCTACACGTGATGTGCAGCACCCATCCTCCTCACCTCTTCTTTTGTGCCAAAGTGAAACAGGTCACATACGGGCACGAGGCTACAATGTGCAAGCCGGGAACCATGGAAACTGTATGGTATGGACACGTCCCGAATCGTGACAAGTGAATCAAACGGTGCTTTTTTTTTCATAAACTCCTACTATATACTATGTATTTTTGTATGTTTTGGTTGTTGGGAATAGTACTATTTATATCTTGTGGTTTAAATAGCTTGTAACTAAAATCTGTTCGGCCTACATGTCCCATCATGCACCAGGGGACTGTGGGCCAGCCCACTCCCAACATATGACCTACACCTATTACTTTAAATGTGCACTGTGATAGCCATCTTGAGTTTGCTCTGATGAAGGCTGGAGGGCCAAAACGCATTGGTGTGATTGGCGGTGGATGTTCTGTTCCTGGTGTAGAGGCTCTCCGCTCCTGGTGTAGAGGCTCTCCGCTCCTGGTGTAGAGGCTCTCCGCTCCTGGTGTAGAGGCTCTCCGCTCCTGGTGTAGAGGCTCTCCGCTCCTGATGTAGAGGCTCTCTGCTCCTGGTGTAGAGGCTCTCCGCTCCTGGTGTAGAGGCTCTCCGCTCCTGGTGTAGACGGCTCTCCGCTCCTGATGTAGAGGCTCTCTGCTCCTGGTGTAGAGGCTCTCCGCTCCTGGTGTAGAGGCTCTCCGCTCGTGATGTAGAGGCTCTCCGCTCGTGATGTAGAGGCTCTCCGCTCCTGGTGTAGAGGCTCTCCGCTCGTGATGTAGACGCTCTCCGCTCCTGGTGTAGAGGCTCTCCGCTCCTGGTGTAGAGTCTCTACACTCCTGGTGTAGATGGCTCCACTGATGGTGCTTTCTCAACTCGTTCACCTGTATTCAGCCTCACATTTTACTCTGTGCGGTTTCATGTATTTTAGCATGTCAGTGTGTGTGTGAGTGTGTGTGTGTTGTTTGGTTGTGTGGGGTCGGGCAGCTGTGGGGGTTGGGTTGGTGAGTGGGTGGAATGAAATGTGGGTTTGTTTTTAATGACTGTAAAGCACCTTGTGTTACATTTTTGTATGAAAAGTGCTTTATAAATAAAGTTTGATTTGATTTGATTTAACTTTATCTGCCATGTGCTATTAAAGCTTTTCATTTTTCTGTACTTTTTGAACCTCAGCCTTTTCATCTTTGCATTTGAGACTGGTTCCTACACTGAAGAGCACCAAAAGGACACTTTTACACAATCTCTTTACATCCAAGTAGTAGCACTCCTGCTCCCTAAAGTTTTGCAGGGCTTGGTTAGAGCTTAGGGGTTAAGGTAGGGTGTAGTTAGGGGTTAAGGTTAGGTTTAGGTTAGGGGTAAGGTGTAGACGTAAGCCAGGGCCCATCATCGCTGCTTGCGGCTATATTGTTGTTATATGCAATGAATTGTGTCACCATGGTAACTGCTGAACATTCCACCATACAGATGATCAGAATACATGTATTCATTATTATTAATATGACAAAATGTAAGTTAAAAAGTGGCAGAAGTAATTTAGTTGGATCTTAATTAATAGGCCCGATATCGCAAATATGCTGAAAAAGTATGATGGCTAGATAATTACTTAGGTTTTAACAAATGTTCTGAAATGTCCCAGTGTCAGATATCCTCCCTGTGAGCCAGATGCCCTCCCTGTGTCTCCAAGAGGTCTTATTCTGTGTAAAACCTGTCTGTAGTTTAGACCTTCACAAATGTTCTGAAATCTATATGGAATTCTTGATCAGTCCATATTTTGTCTTCTCTTTCAGAACCTAAACTGCTACTTTTCCAAAACAGTTGAAAACAACGGTGAAGGGGGCTAGGAACACCAGGAAGTAAAGACAGGAAGTGCAGAGCAGGAAGTGTGCAGGGTTATATCAGGTCACGCTCTCACACACGTGTCCTGTGCACATACACACTCAGGTTTCAGGATGTTTTAGTTGTACATTAATTTACTAATATACAATTCTGTGAGACTCAGCCTAACCTGACCTCTTCATATGGTAACTTAAACCATGTTGCTGATCTAATATTTACCTCATGATTTTTGGTTTCCACAAAGTGACTGTGTATAGATTGAATTCGTCACAATGCAATGAATAGGCTCTCACACACTGGTGGAGCACTGCTGCACTGTACACACACTCAAATGAGTCATTCTTTTCGTGGAACTCTGTAACTGTGTATGAACAAGCAGAGGGTCATTAAGCTCACCCTGTGCACAATACTGTACACACCCTGCACTCACATTCATTTCATCGTTTTCGAGGACCCCTTTGAAAACGAGATGGTGACACATCTCAAGGGGCTTATCCTCCAAACAAATAAATTCAAATTCAAATTCAATGAAACCACAGGGGACTATGCTAAAACTACAGATTATATATGTTATTAGGTCGAGTCATCTGATTTATACAGATTTTGGCACTGTCTTCCTACCGGTGAAGGCAGGACGACAGCGCCATCTGCAGTCCAGCTTCTTCAGGCCAGTATCCCAGGTGTGTGAGAGTAAAAAACACCCTTGTCCCAGTTTAAAGGAGGCTTTT